CAGGGGCGGAGTCTCGGGGAGAATGCCCGCCCACAGGGGCGGAGTCTAGGGGAGAATGCCTGGTCCAGGCTGCGCTGCGTGTGGCCCTGCAGGTGCACCTGTGGCTCCTGCTGTGACCTCGGCCTGAGGGTCAGCAGGACACAGGGCTCAGCTGCGCAGATTTGCAGCCCCATGACCTCGCCTCTGTTTTCTCACCTGTAAAATGGAGGCGACGGCAGAATGTGTCCGTGTGCTTGCGGGAACGGTGGGCAAGAGGACCTGTGGCCTGAAGCGTCTGAAAGGCCAGTGCCCAGTCACGACCAAGTTGCTGGCGTTAACACTGGGGTTGCTTAGTGACTCTGACCTTGGATTTGCCGGGCATCCTGGGCACCTTCACCCTGGAGCACAGCGGTTCACAGCTGCACGGGGGAGGGAGGAGGCGGGCGGGGAGGGGCAGGTGGCCGCGGCTGCCAGCACTGCCCTGAGGCCCTTGCTCTCCGGGCCGGGCCGCCGGGAGTTCTCCCAGTGGCATTGCCCACGGCTGCAGTGCCTTTCAGGCGCAGGTGTGCAGCCCCCGTGGCTGCCGTGCCCGCGACGTGGCCGTGCTGAAGGGGGTGCCGTTTGTCCAGGAGGCCACGGTGCCAGTCCTCGGCAGAGTCACGGCGAATCCCAGTGTGGTGGTGGGGGGGGGGTTCGCGGCCAGAGGGCCCTGCACGGACGAAGTGCAGCCATGTCCTGACCTGGACCCAGCTCTGCCAAGCGGCTGGAGGAGGAGCAGGGGCAGGAGCAGCAGTTGTGGCGGGCAAGGCCCAGCCCTGCTCATGCGACGCTGGCACCAGTGGTGTGGCCGCTGCACCATGGTGGCCACCTGTGCAGTCCTCACGGGATGTCTGCTGTGCACACGGCCGTCCTCTGAGACGGAGACGCGGAACAGCGTGGTGAGTCCCTGGTGGAGGGGCTGGTGCGGTGTCTCAGGAGGGCCCTCGGGGGGCCACAGCCCAGGGCGCTGCTGTGTCAGGGCTGGGGGGTTTGCGGCCGGGCAGAGGGAAGAGGAGCCGGGCCCGCTCACCCTGGCTTCCACACGGGCTGTTTTGCTGCCCTTGATTTTAAGCCCCGAGGTGTCTCTGGGCCTCAGCAGCCCCACGTGGGGGCCCCCAGCAGGTCTGGCGCTGACGGCCTCGGGAGACCACGTGGCAGTGAGGGCAGAACGGTCGTCAGCCTCAGTGCCTCCTCGGGGCCCAGGGGGCGGCGTGGCGCAGACCCCGGCCCTTCTGTGGCCTGGGGCTCTGAAGTTAGCGGCTGACCGAGCCTGGGCTGCCCACTGCGGCTGCCGGGCTGCGGGCCCAGATCCCCCTGAATCCAGAGGAGTGACGTTAGCGGTCCGGTTCCTCTGTCGCACGGCTCCCTTCATTGGCTTCAAAGCCGCCTTGGCTGGTGGTCGCCGTTGGATGGCCGACACGGAGACCCCAACACGCCGTGCTGGACCAAAGGCCGGTGCTGGCATGTGAGGTGAGCCCGTGGCTTGCTCAAAGACTGCCCTGTTGTCTGAGACGGCAGAAGGCGTTCATAAATCAGCTGGAGGGCGGGGACTTGGCCAGTGTTCAGTGCCCTGAGCCCTTCCCAGGCCTCCAGCCCAGAGGGCCCAGGGCTGCGGGGCTGCAGCAGGCACCGCCCTACCTCTCCCCCTGCCCTCCCTCTCCCCTGCCCTCCCCTCTCCCCTGCCCTCCCTCTCCCCTGCCCTCCCTCTCCCCTGCCCTCCCTTTTGTCGGTGGTCCAGTGTTGCCCAGCAGT